TTCCGACTCAGTCACGCGACCATGTGTGGCCATCAAAGGTGCGCTAATTCTTATATGGTCACGTGGTGGACGGGACCCCACTGACTATGGTCACGTGACCTCAGTGAGGATGGACAGGTGATCCCTTATGATCATGATCACGTGTTCGTGCGACCACCGAAGGTGCGATATCTTACGTGGTTGCAACCACCACCCCCTCGACAGACCGACCGACGTGAAAACTGAGAAAGGTTTTTTAACTTTATGATGTGTGAGGGCAGACATTAACATAAGCTCACGACGTTTTTGTTAGAGTATTTGAAGGCCTTGAGGAACACAGGCTCTAATCATTGTAGTGAGGTCATGCTATATGATCAAATTTTAACGACTGTGTCTGTTTAAAGCAGTTAACGGAATAGGACCGAAGAATTGCATACTTCAGGAATATATCGCATATTTACTCGAATTAGTTTTTATACTGGACCTCGGCGTTTGGACAAAATAAAAGATTCGGGAGTTTCGCTCGTTTCAGCTGAATTTACTGTGGAGTTATAAAGTCGTTCCTAAATCCTCCGATTTCCTCTTCTTACTAGCAGGAACCAATCTCGCTCGGTGGCCGCTGTGTCAGCGGAGTAGTACTCACACATTAGAATAAGAACGGCGTTGCATTGCACTTTCGGAACTACCTTTCTGACAGGAGTATCAGAAAGTTACGCTGGAATTATGCGGAAGTGAAAAAGGCAATATCATTCATGTTGTTGACAGAACAACATTTGTATTTTTCCACACGTACGTGTTTTTGATTATATACAACGCACATGCGCAGCAGCCTGTTTCTTGAAATGTGAATAATCTTCACAATCTCGGTGCAGCAGTCCTCACTACTGCTCTTATGTCATGCTCCAAAAACGTGGTGGCGTGTGCAAATTTCTGATAAGTACTAAGAACTCCTGATATGGTCATAACGCCGTACTGAGCTGAATTGTGGGAGCTTGTCACGTGGGCCTGAAAGCTCCTATATAAACGCATGCACCCCGAGATGGTTCCTTTGTTGAACTTGCACGTTGCCTGTTCGTCGATCACTACTCGCAACAGCCATCCACCTCTTCATGTCCTACTTCGCGGTGGAGAGAGTTATCGCCAAAACGGTGAGTAAGGTTTCATGTTATTTTGTACTATTGTATAATAGGACAGGACAAATTCTAATTTCTTTTTATATGCTATATTATAATGTACCGCAGATGTTGGTTTTAGCTTTTAAGGCCAGCTTTCGATTAATGCTCATATCCACCTATTTCCAGCTAGTAATTTCAACGTCGTTGAAATTTTAGTTTCATCGCATAGCCATGCTCTGTCTTTTGTGTTCGTAAAAACTTGGATGACGCTTAAGCTTCGCCTTTAAGAGTGGAACGCAATAGCGTTATCGGGCCCCGTTCGCATCGCCTTCTCATTCGCTTCTCATGCTCTTGAGTCACGCAACAACATAGTGCTCACGACACAACAGTCCTCGTTCCCAAGCCGCACAAGCGTGCGTTGCGTGGCCTAGTCAGTACCCTGCCTGGCTCGCCACCGGAACGGTCGTAGGTTTGAATCCCGCCCGGAATTCTTCAATTTTTTTCTTTAAGGCGAATGAAGGACTTTATAAAATGAAATTATTTGAGACACGCGGCGACCTTTAATTCGCATTGCATTTCATGTTTTAATCACTTTCATTCCACGCGTGACGTCACGTTTCACGTGAGCTTTGTGGGTTGTTTGAAATTCCCGCGCGAGGTCATGTGCCGTGACGTCATACCCTATCGAACAATCCTGGATTTTCCCGTCACGCCACCGACGCCGGCTTTCTGCGACACGAGCTCGTTAACGCTCTCGCATTAAAAGCCCGTATTTCGCGTGCGTGTTCACCGTGGTTCGGCTCTTTGTAACAGTGAAGAGGGTAACACAAATAAATGGAGCACAAATAAAACGACCTTGTGCCTCGCCGGAAATCAAACACGGAACAGGCATTCAAGGGCGGCCCAACTTTAATGGTACCACGTTCACTGGAAGATGAAGTGAAAAATATGTCAGAAGTCTTAGAAGCATATCAGATAAAAAAAAAAAAGATGTTCCTGATAATTTTGTTAGCCAGCTCCTGCGCTCTATCTCCGCATGAAAAGATTGATTTTATCGACACGTGACGTGACCAACAATGACGCTTGCGTCGTTGTTGGTCACATTGCGAATATTTGTGGCATTTGCTGTCTCTGTCTTTCTTCAGTCAAGTTCCGTTGTTTGTTCAGCGCTTGCCCTATTTTCCTCTCTTCATCTTTATTTCTTTTATGCGATGTTGTAATTTTTACAAATATGCACAACCAATTCGCCTGCATCGCTTCTTTAATTCTAGGGCAGTTTCAATGCCGGTCGCACAACCACTTTGTAATTGTCACTCTTAGTTACGTCATGGCGTGATCTGGTTACATGGTCACATGACCTACAGAAAATCATTGCCATAAACACCTAGGCAGAAGTGCAGAGGTCTCTGGCGGCACCAGAAGATCAGGAAACCAAGCAATAGGCTCTCTACGACAAACAAATAGTTAAATTGAGTCAATTGCGATTTCATGGGGAAAGAGTAAATATACCGTGGTACTGTTCTAAAGTCGGTAAACGCAGAATGCGTTGAGTGTCTTAGCCTTTCATGGAAATTCCAGAAAAACAAAAGCCAAGCAAGTATCAAATCCCCAAAAGCAAAAGAACTCAGAAAGCCACAGAAATCCGACGGGAGAAACAGTCTGACAAACACAAAGCGTTCTGCATCTATCGACTGTATACGTAGTATTAAGGACCATATAAATTTCAATCTTCTCCACGAGTGCACAAGGAAAACACCAAACATATGGCTTTATTCAGTGTTTGGATAAAGCCAAATGTAGGAACAGAGTGTCAATAAAATATCACGAAAAGCCAACGTTTATTATACAATGCAATTCTGCATTTAACAGTTCGATCGACAGAATAAATTGGAGCCTCAGGATTTTATTCAAGGTCACTTTTTGTTACATTATAGGTGCTGTGATTATAACGAACTTTCCACTGACCTGCCCACATGAATCCAGTTTTATATATTATCTCATTAGACTGCAGAGAGTGTTAACGTTTGGCGTCCGGGTGATTGTACACTTTTATAATCAAGGTTGCACTTTATTTTGCAGAGAAAGGGGTGCCTCCTCAAGTGGACAGGACACTCCAAGTGGAACTGCACCTTTGAACCACGTCGAAACCTGACTGCTCGCTGCTTGGCAAGCTTCGAGACGCTGTCGAGACCCACAGATGCTCGCCTCGAAGCAGCGCGGGACAGTTTCGTCCTCGCCATTCGCCAGAAACTGAGCAACACGAAGACATCCAGTGGTCTGGTTAAGGTTCCTTTTGAACTCGACGTATTTCGCTGGGTGTTTGCTAGCAAGGGTGAAAGCCTTGGGGAGGGCTGGTCTCTTCATAGTCACGAGTCTGACTTTGAACGGCTTAATTTGCCGGATGGATGGAGGGAAGTGTTCCGTAAGTCGGGTGAAGGTGCTCAGATTGCTTTACCTATAAAGATGAAGCCAGTATTGCGTTTTTCACGTAAACTTCAAGGAAGTGACGGCGAGGTTCTCTCGTACCCCCATGAAAAAGTGCATATTTACATTTCCACGCAGGCGCGAACTCGAAAGAGTCTTGATGTATGAACGGCTTAACATATTTCCTCGTGAAGAGAGCCAGTTATGGACATACTTCGAGATAATGTAGCGGTCACATTTGTGGGGGCGAGCGTATTACTCAAGTGCAAACTTGAGGCAGTTGTTAGAGCATTAACCTGCGAGCCTAATCTCGGGATTAGTTATATAATCCAAAGCTATGTAAGAGTCGCCAACGAAGGACAAATCAATGAGAAATTTCTCTCACAGTACCGAAGAACACTATTCACGGTCCACAAGTTAAAGGGCAGAAAAAGGTATAGTTTTCTTTCAAGGGACACGACATTTCAAGTCGACCTTTCCGAATTAGTTGGTGAAGCATTCTTTGCAAGCTCTGAAGAGCTAGGTAGTGGCAGCCAAGGCAGCAGCACTCCCCATCACGACAGGTTCGAGCAAATTTCAACCATTCATCTGGACAATGAATCGGAGAGTACGACTCAAGTCGGTGGGAGTTCTCTGCCTGTTCAGACCTGTCTTGCTCTAAGCGACCTTGAACGGAAAAACGTGGAACTACGTAGCACAGTTTCCAGTTTGAAAAGCGAGGTGGCCCAGCTAGAGGAAGCGCTGAGAAAACAAGACCAAAATACTGTTAATTTTGGTAACTATACACACAGTGGCGTTCTTATTGGCCAAGGCAGCCGTAGGAATGACTACCGGCTTCTTTCCAAACTTTCGACACAGCTTTACGACCAGCCAGAAGCCTTGGTTTTACAGTACGGAGTACACCTGAGCTCTGTGCTTGTTCAAGACAACCATGAACAGTTGCATGAACTGAATTACGAGGACGACAGCGTTACAAAAAATGCGCGTAGAAGTCTACCACATTCCTCGTTCTTCGAGATGACCAACGCAGAGAAAAAGCGTATCGAGGATTTAGTGTATGTTCTAGATGAACACACAGTAAGCAACACTGCGTGGAATGAACTGAAACGAGTTCTTCCTAGTCTTCCTACATTAAAAACAATCTCCGAGTAAAGAGACTATCTGGACGAAGAGTTTCAACTTTCCCGGACACCTGGAACTGCACCTGGGGCCCAAGTGTCCTTCAAGCGGGAGCTTTGTCGGTACATTAAGTCCGCTGCCGAGAAGTCCCATGCCAACTTAGAAGAATTCTGTAGATCTAATCCTTCGGTTATCGTTAAAATCAAAGGGGACGGATGCAACGTGACAAGAAAGGGCACGTGGACCACGCTGAGCTTTTCAACACCAGATGGCGATGACAGGCACAGCCCAAAGAATCACTGCCTTATTGGTATTATTCAGACAAAAGAAAACTACTTCGCCCTTCGAGAAGGATTTAGAGATATGATCAAAGAAGTCAATGATGTGTCCAAGCAGAGAGGTATTCTTGTAGACGACAAATTCGTGTCCGTGGATCTCTGCTTCGGTGCGGATCTGAAGTTTATTTTGCTTCTCCAAGGCATGCAGTCGGCGGCTTCAACCCATCCGTGTCCAATCTGCAAGGCCAGTAAGGAAGAACGCTCAAATCCCAGCATCCCATCAGGCTTTTTTAATTCATCTGCGATGACTCGTACCCAAGATGGAATGAAAAAAGACTGCGACAATATGACAAACTCTGTTCGTTATCCGCCGCTGCTCATGATAGAGCCCTCCCGTGTGGTACCTGACATCATGCACATGGGATTGAGAATAGTTGATAGGCTTGTTGAGAACCTCATTCTTGAAATGCAAGACAAAGATTCTTCAATAGAAGTATGCAACACATCAGCGAAAGAGGACCATGTCGCTAAGCTTATTGCGATTATCCACGATTGTGGCGTCAGTATCCATCTTTTTTCTTCAAATGATTCGAAACATCAGGGGAGGAGCTTCAGTTCGCTGACAGGAACTGACGTTGACGTACTGCTAGAAAAGCTGCCTGGTCGTCTTCGAGATGTCCTTCATCACGACACAGCCGAAGATGTTGTTTTGCTCTGGAACATCTTAAGAGAAGTACTTAATGTTTACAAGAATGATACATCCGGCTCTGACGTCTCGGCGCGAACAAAACTTTTTCTCGACGTTTTCGTGCGGCTGGGCGCAAACCGCAAAGGATATGGTCGAGACCGTGTGACTCCCTACATTCACATATTTTGTGCGCACTCGGCGCAAAAGCATGTACAACTGCACTGCCTGGGCCATTATTCCAGTCAGGGGCTTGAGAAGAAGAACGACACGCTGAAAAAACTGCACCACACTAAAACTGACAAGTGGGACGCCGCATGGGACGTCTTAAAAATAGTGAAGCGGGGAGAATTGCAGACTCAAAGGCCGCCAGTAAGAAACTACACAAAAAGATCTCGCGAGTACTGGTCTCTGGGTGGTATTCAAGAAAGTCGAAAGAAAAGACCACGTAGGAGCGTTGTTCCGCGAAATGACAATCCTAGTGGGACTTTGAATCTAGATGCGATGCGCCCCGGTGAAATTAGAACAGAGTTGGCACATCGTGGTACAAATACATCAACCAGGGACTTCCAGAAATTAAAACAAATGCTCAGGGACTCTGAGCGCTGATCAACCGCTATCTGTGATGCGGTTTTGTGACTGGAATGAGTAGTCTGTTGCCAAAATAACCTACGCGACTATTATTCCTACGTTCAGAAAACAAAGCCGGGCAATCCTCTTGTAGCGTAGGAACTCGCTTGTTGCAGAGATCTTAATTGTGTTTCATATTTTTATCTTGCGTTCATAGTCTTGTGATTTCTACGAGCGGTCATAAGTTCTCGTAGGTATCTTTGTTTCTAGTTCATCACTCGTTTCGTGACGTGTAATGCAAGTGCTGATCAGTGAGAGTGTATCATCCTTTTCTTATTTTTAACACACGGACGGCCTTCTCACGATGCTGGGACTGTGCGTGGCACTGAAACTGATGCGTGATATTGTAGATTACAGTGTGTATATATATGACGCGACAAGCTAGATTTGAAACGCGGGTGACTGGCTTTTTTTTTTATGAATTTATGAAAAAAGTGCTAACTTTTATTTTGACTTCACTTGTCGCAATCTACATGTTTCTGTTGCGTCAGTCGGTTGTACAAACTTTAATAGCACGTAACGACAAAAAATTCGAGCCTGTGTTCCTTTGCAGCAGACAGAGCAGTCGGTTTCTTTTTTTTTCTTTTCTATTGTAGTAGAACACACCTCGACGCTATACCTGAATGCGTTAATGTATACATGTACGCGTCTTCATAAGCTTCGCAGCATGGAACTTTTTTGTGATACTGCTATTTTTCCTTGTTCTGCAGTACGTCAGAGAGCTTCTCGTACGGTTCGAGCTTTTAGCCTTGATCAAAAATATTGCGTAAGCTTTGTTCACTCTACTGCTTTGTTGTTTTCTTCTGTCCTCGTATGATGTACTCATTGGGTACTATGCTCTTTTTCAGCGTAAAATTAACGGATCGGACGCTAGGAACCATCCAGCCATTCCAGCGCTGAGAGTACACCGTAGCTTTAACCTCAGTGTCCCCACCAGAAGCTCACTTGATAATCACTTAATTCTGGATGGGCTGAGATGGTCCGCAGCGTCCACTGCTGTTCATTTGGGGTGCAAGAAAGCATAGAACACTTAGGCTAACTGATGACTCGGGTGTGTTGAAAGCATTTTGGTTGTGAGCCTGGGTACGTGAGGTATATCGGACCCTGTATCCCCTTTTTTTCAATCGCTAGTAATAGACCGATCGCACCAGCCAGTTTGACTACGCCACCGCTGCCGCAATGCATCGAGGGAACTGTAGTCTTTCTGCACGTGCGACAACCCCGCTGGAGCTTTGCGCGAGGGAAGCACGAGACGGCACGTGCACTCGCAGGCACGGCCGTCTGCCTTCTGTGAACTAAAGTTATGGTGGCGTCACGCATGCGCCGAACGCTTAGTGAAATCGGTCTATTGTGTCAATATAATACCCCTAATTGAATGTAACCATTTATTTATTTTGTACGCAAATGTGATTTTGCGGTGTTTCTATGAAGCATAATAAATACTGTTTGGCACTCTTTCGTATTGATTTTTTATCCTTCCGCCTCGATGCCTGTAGAGCAGAAGTCATGATGCTGCGGCTCGCAAGCTGCATGCGGCTCGTCACAAACCAAAATTCGCCTCACGTGATCTAGAGACGCCCACATTAAAAGGGTTGGGACCAAGCATTGAGCTTACTCATGAAAACATTACAGCGAGGAACAGGAAAAAAAACAAAAAAACTGGGCGTATAAAATTACCGTAGTTTTCGTTGTCGATAAGCATTTCAGAATGCAATTGTCAGACGGGGGCAAATAAGGTGGAAATGTAACCTGGAATTTTATAATTTCACTTTGTGTAGGAACCTTGCCCAAACTTGGTGTGAGAGAAACGTAATGCAAAACAGCTGCCTATAATTAAATATCGAGCTCTATGTTTTACGCACCCATACAGTTGAAAAACTAGTAAGTCGCATCTAGTGGAATGTATAATCTAGATTCTCTGCTTCACGAAAGCGTTTGCTTGAAATAAAATGAAACTAGGCACCGGTTACATTATAAAAGCTTCGCAGCGTGAAACCATAGCTCCTATATTTAGTCAAGCTATAAGTTATAAGGGGAGCCTAATGACAAACGTTGAAAGCATGTGGAGAGGACGATGTTCTCCCAATACCACCCCCTCCCTTGCCTTCTTGCGGCTTCCTAAAATATAACAATTTTACTTGCGCCATCAGTTTGGCCACGCCCGCTCTATAGGCTCAACATTCACCGCAACGCCTACAACAGGTACCAAGTCCTCTGGATCTCTTGATTGTCTTTACAATTTTATTTTAAACTTTTAAGATGAAAATGCATTTTCACGGAGCCCCTGCAGTAAAACTCCTGCGCAGGCATAGTACCCGACGAACGTAACATTGCTGGAATATTACCTATATTTAAATAAGGCGATGGTCACTGTATCGACAATTACAGATACAGACAATCACACTCACGCTTCTGCTGCCGCCGACGCTCTAGACGGGCACGCTGTTGTTCTTCGTCGGTTTCCCGACCCGGGAAACCAGCTACTCGATTTCCCGACCCGTCGGCCGCTGCGCGTTCGGCGGTTTCTCGTCGCTTTCGCGCCCATTCGCGCTTTTGCTCTCGTTGTCGCTCTTTGAGGGCACCTTCTTCTTCTTCAGAGTGAACTACGCGCGTCTTGCTCATAGCAAGTTCAAAGTGCAACTGCTGATAACGTCGCTAATGCGATGACTACTGGTGAATATTAGAAGACGACAGCGCAGCATGAGCACGAGCGACCGCGCTGCCAACAATGGGTCTGTATATTCGTATGGGGAGAAATTCTCGATCTACACGCTCTGTCCGCGCACGCAAAACATTTCAGAACCTAGCCATATACAGCTTCGCTGTAAAACATTTAACAAAATGATCATGCTAAGAGGCAAGTACAAAATCGTTCAAATGGTGACGGTACATTGAAATTGGTGCTGAGATGTCAAGATAGGGAGGAGCAAAGGCTTTATATAATGACTGAATCCGAGAGAGAGGTGAGGTATTACATAGCGAGCGAACGTCAAAACAAACGAAGTGTCTGGTTACTCGAAAAGGCAATCTCGAGTCCTCGGCCACATATTTGTGCGAACTTCTCCCCGCCATTTAAATATTAATACCCCAAGGCCAACTGTAGGTAATAAATAAACAAAAATAATAATGCCCCAAGGGCGAACTGTAGGTAATAAATAAACAAAAATGAACAATAAACAAATGTATTTCATGCATTTCCTGACTTTCTCACGGAAAGCGTAGCCACAACTTTATTTATTCTTGAGCGCTGAAAACGTCTGCCGCAGAAGAGGTATGTAGCACTAATGTAAAAAGTGATGACATGTGAATAAGCCCAATAGTGACACATAAAAAACAAAGATACAGTTTAGAATATTCCTTCGACGGCAGACGAACGTTTTGTGATAATCGGAATTAACGTGCTTTGATAAGTAAGCCCTTGGGAACAAGAACACAATGTAAGGGTTACAATAGCTCAACAACAGAAGAAAAAACTCAGTTTGTTGAGTGCCAGCCTGGTGGAAAGAAACTGTTAACCAGTCCACCGCGCAACTTTTTGCGATCTGATATGGTGTCAATTATTGTCGGAAAGATCGTTTGAGTTCTGGATGGCACGAGGAAGTGCTGAGGTTTTAAAAGGATGGATGCTGAACGAAATATTCGCAGGAAGCTTTCGCTGCTTTTTACGAAAAGAATCCGGTGGTTCTTAAAAGAATAGAAAGAAAGAGAGGCAGAGAGAGAGAGAGAGACAGACAGAGAGAGGGGGGGGGGAGCAACGCTATAAAAATATCAGGACGGACTTAGCCTTGCCGTTGGAGCTGGCATTGTCCCGCTCGGCAGTGGTTCCAAAAGAGGTGAACTGGACTGACCGAAGTTCTGAAGGAACCGATGAAGTAAGCAAAAGAGCAAGATTAGTCGACGAGTCTGGAGAGGATGAATGAACTTACATTGCCTAAGATCTGACACGCTAATAAATCGAGAATGAGACTATATGAATAGCGCGGTACAGTTTTAGACGGGTTCCGAATGCGTAATTCTGTACGTTTGGTGATATCATTAAGTATTGTAGACTAAGAAAAAGAAGGTGCAAGCTTCCGGAGACTAAATAGACACGGAAGAAACTAAGAAAGAGGAAGGAGAGAGCGCTCGCACTGAAAGGATCGAGATGACGGTAGGGTACAGTTCAACAATACCTCAAAAATAAATAATTCATTATTTCCTTCTATTTTAACACAGTTCGCATAATTAAACCGGCTTTTTATTTTTATCGTCACCGCGGAGATCCTTCCTCCATTTACTTAATAAAGGCTTCTAAATATATTAGGCGTATTCCGGTTTCTGGGGCGGACGTGAGTACTATAAGTATGCTTCTGTGTTTTCGGACAAATTCGATAAGATCAAAAAAATACTTCCGGTGAAATATTTTAATATTTATATTTACCCAAAAAACTCCGATTTTTCAGGACCGCCAACTGCTATGAATCCTACTGGTCTTAATATTTTCCAGGGATCTTCGAACAAGTTTTGCTCTACTTCTCTATATCTAATATTTATTTATTTATTTGAAAAACTGCAGGCCTTTTTCAGGCCCTCGCAGTATCAACTTTCGTTTGTATGATCACAAAGAACATCCGTTTAGCTTCTATTTTAAAAAAGGGGAATCGTCGAACACGTTTCTCATTGAAAAGGATACTTTTACTAAATTCACAAACTGCTGTTTTCAACCTTTCGTTCACTTCACCGAAAAAGCCGAAAAACTCTGTACGATGAAAGAAAGCTCCAAAGAACTCCGAATTTATGGTAAAAAAATAAGCACTAAACAACACTTCGCGATTTTAAGCAGAAATAAACTCCGAAAACGCAGAATCCTAATTATAAGCTGGATTTCGTATATGTTGGTGCAGCTTTTAGATTTCGTTATAACTTATAGGTAGGGTTCCGTATTTTTGTGTATTCTTTTTTAAATTTAAGGGTGTCTTTGGGTGTTCATTTTTTCAAAG